TCATCTGGACTTGGGGACAATGGGAAAAGATGCCCACCCCCCCCAAAAAAAATCCTGGTATTTCCTCAGCGCCCAGGTTGGTGAAACAGCTTCGCCTTGAGCGTGTCCCACCTGTCCTTCCCAAAAGGAAAGCCAGTCTCAGCCTTGTCCGGTCGGCTTTCTCCTCAGGAAGGAGATGTTGTCCGCCCCCCTGTTCGTAGCCACGTGGCACGGGGGTCCACCATGGCCGGTTCCTGGTGGTGGCATGAAGGAGGCTGCTGTCTCCCTGGGCTGGGGATGAGCTCAAACAGTAGGGGCAGGGGAGGGCCTTGTCCTTAAGCGACCCTCCATACCATACGCTATGGGGGTGGGTTGAGGAGGAGGACAGGCTAGATAGAAATGGAGAGAGAAAAAAAAATTAGGGGAGCCAGTGAAGACCAGAAGAGTAATAAGTCAAGAGGGATGAAAAGAAGGTGAAAAAGCTGTTTTCTTCTTGTTTTCCGTAGCATTAGCGACAATACCAGAAGCCCTTTGAGTGCTTTGCTGATCTCCATCATCACAGGGGCTCAGCAAGAGAAGGCGCAAGGGGAGAGCAGAAGCGGGGAGCGAGGCATCAGAAGGATCTTTGCTTCCATCCCAAAAGCTGCTTGTAATCTGACTCTAGAGACGGGTCTTCAAGCTGCAAGGAAGCTTTGTAGCCTTTTTTTTTTTTTTTTTTTTTTCCCCCCCTCCCCCTTTAAATAGTTTAGCACCTTTTAAACCTGGCAGGGAGTGTTCTGAGAGCTGGGCCAAGAGGGCTGGCTCTGCCCTGGTCCCTGCCCCATGGTCTGCATCATCGTTAGACATCTTCTTCTTCTGCCAAATTGGTGTGAGAGTTGTCCCATGGCTGGCCCCGAGGGCTGCTGACCATTGAAGGGCTGCTTTGCCCAGATGTCGGTGGTACGAGGGAGCAGGGAAAAGGCAGGGGATGCTGCACCGCAGTGGGTTGACACACAGATCCTTGGGTCTCGGGTAGGACACAGTCCTGCTGGCGCAGCCTCATTACCAAGGTTAATTATCCTTCCTGCTGTGGTTCGCTGTCTCTCCAGTTTCTACGGGATGGTGTTGCACTGCATGGCGCGGATGTACCTGGGGTGTAAAAGTAGCCAGGAGGCAGTTTGCTTTGCCCTGGAGGGCCTTGGTGCTTGTCGCCTGTTCACCCATTCCTCCTCTTCAGCCCCCCGAGTCCAGGCAACTGGCTGTCTGGGGGGCTTCCCCAAAGCCAAAGCTTTGCTGGGGCAGAGAGGAATCCAGATGTAATCCTGGCCTGTTTTCACAGCACTGCAAGTCAGTGGCAGCTGGGAAGTGATATGTTCCTGTCTAATTAATTATTTCCCTGGGAATAAAAGGCAATGGTTTTTGTTTGGTCTCAGTAATGAATCAATCATTTCTGAGGTATGATGTGCAGACGGACAAGGAGAAGCAGCCGGTGTCCTCAGCTGTGCGTGCATGTTGGCATCTGGCTGAGCAGCTTCGTTCTGGGATGGGAAGCAGCCGAGATCTCTGGTTTCACTACGGGGCCGTTCCTCTCTCAAGGGCAGCACAGGAGATTCTCACCACTCCTCATAAACATCATGAAAACTGCTGACCCTGAAAATATGGAGTAATCTGCGATTTCCGGAATGCCTCCCTTGTCCTCTCCTTCTGGAGCTGTTTCCCAAATGGTTGGCGTTAGCTCAGAGGCGTTTCGAGTTCCCAGAGCCTCTCCATCAGTGTCCTTGGGTCCGCTGCAAAGACAGAAGCTTTCTCCGTCGTGCTTCTGTATGATAGCTGCAATATGTGGCTCTTGATGGGTTTCCCTCTGCCTTGATCATTGCCCATGAGCAGTACTGGGTGGCCTGTAGTACACAGAGCACACCAACCAGTCTGGGGACTGGGAGGAGGTGGGGTACAACTGCGTGTTCTTGCCACGTATCACTTGCGAGGGGGGGTCCTCGTTGTCGTCAGGGGCTGGTAAGACTAGGTTTGGGGTACTTTGAAGTGACTGATCAGCTTGAAGCACTCGCAGTTGGATGAGGGCAAAATACAATTCCTTATCTCTATGTGTATTAAGACCCATTTAATATGAATGTCTAATTAACGCTTTGGAGAAAAAGAACTGTTTGCTAAGAGGACAGTCTTAACAGACTTGCCTGCAGAAACACTCAGTGCTGCCCACATGCACAATTATTTTTTTTTAAATAAAGAAGGGTTTTTTTGCTGGTTTCTCATGCAAACATACTGACCTTTTGCTTTCCAGTGCGTAGTGGGCAGGATTAGGCTGACTTTGCTCCTCAGGGCCACCAGTGCCTTTCAAATGCCGGTTGTGCCTGTTTCTGACAGAGGAGCCCAGGAGTGCACGTGCCTGGGGTCCTGCATGTGATACCTCCCCGTACCACTGTCTTACCTGTCCCTGCGAGGAATACGCTCAAGTTCAAGCTGCCATCTCCTTCACAAGGGGTATTACCTCCTTCGGCGGTTTGGTCACTATGAACTCAGGGCAGACGAGGTGTTACGGGTGAATGGGAGAGGCTTTGCTGCCTACTCGTCTTCATTGCCGCAATCCTTCCTCTGTTGCAACGTTTTCTTAACTTTTTATGTGTTTATCCCAAAAGCTGAAGATAAAAAGTTCCAGTTTGTGGGCAAAGAGAACGATGAAAACTGTAATGAGGGGAAGAGAGAAGGGGTGGCCCCCGTCAAGGACCGTGCTGGCACCGTGAAGAGTGGCAGCCGTAGGATTAGCCCGTTCTCTCACAACTCCAAGGAAACTTTCCATAAACTGCTGACACCAGCCCACCACCCCCAGTATGAGCCCAGCCAAAGTGGACTCCGTATAAGCCTAAGCACCACTACACTAATTACTTTTTTTGCCCCCAGAGCTCTGTTGCTCGATGCATTGAAATGTGTACGTGCCTGTGAAACGCCTGTAGTGCCGTTTGCAGGGTCTGCCCGTGTAAGCTGTGCCCCTCGGAGCGTCTAGAGAGAGGCACATCAGAATAGACGGGCATCCACAGCGGGAGGGGAGGTACGTGGAAAGTACCCAGGCAGTCGGGATGGCCAGAGACTCTGCCGGTTAGGAAAGGCAGTAGAGTAACTCTTCATTTATTCTTCATGTTTATAGAAATCCATGGCACTTTGCAGTGACCGATCTGGAGCTGCAGGGCCTGTGTGGGGTGAAACTGTGTGTGTTTTACTCCTGGGAGTAGCCCCAAGGTAAAGATAAACAAGTACTTTTCTCAGGTGAGTATTTGTTCCTTAATCACAGACTAGGAGACTCCTAAATGGCTAGTTTTGCCCATTCTTGCTCCTTACGGATGTGCATCAATGAGACCTCGAGTCCTGCTTGCTCCCTCTCTCTCTGAGCCAGGGTCTTCCAGCAAATCACTTGAAGAAACAGCTGGAAGAGCAAAGGAGGGTGCTGAGCACCCCTCTGGCCAGGAGAGCAGGGATGCGAGTGAAAGAGAGGGGACCTCCAGGCTGAGAGCAGCACTCTGCATTTCCAGGCTTTTGGAAGTCTCCACCGGGTCCTCTGGGATGAGGCAGAGTTGTTCGTAATCCCAGCACGACCAGGTGGATGGTTTCCCCAAACACGTTTAGTTCAAGTCTTCCAGGCAGTGTTTGTGCATTGTAAAGAAGCAAGAAAGGGCATAGTTGATCTGGGGGCTTTGCTGTCCTGTCTATTTTTCTAATAGGCTGTGCCTTAAAAGCACGGGTTGAGTGATGTTCAATGAGGAGCTGACGTGGTCTCCAGTCGTATACCATGTAAGCACAGTACTCATTCATATACATAGAGATATATAGATATCCAGCTGCGTGTTGTTCATGCTGGCACTTTCCACCAAGGGGATATGGCATACGTAGGAATATATCAGTACTTCAGCTTTTTTATACCAGGAGTTTCAAATTTCTATTTTGGCTAATGTAGAGAGAGAGAGAGAGTCAAAGAGACTGATCAACAGGCAGGAAAAAAAAAAATCTATAAAATCTTGCTTTGCAGTTCATCTGATAAAAGAAATAGATAGTGTGTAAACCTTGTTTCTCATCAGGCTGATTTGCATTCGTATAACGAGCTCTGATTCTCCTGTCCCTCGCACTGTTATTTCCCCTAACGACTCCTACCTCTGACGTAAGCCAGTATAAGAAAGGTCAGAATGATGTTTTTCGTCTGTAGCAAGAGAGGACCTGTGTACCTTACCTATGCTAACAAGTCTGAATGACTGGAGAACATATTTATAAATGTATTTATAAAGATAAAACTATCTCCAAACTCTCCATTCATTGCACTATTGTCAAACCTAATAAGCTAAGACAATTGAAATCTGCCGGCAATGGAAGGCAGGGAGACCTAACGCTGTCGCAGTGACCTGCACATGGATGGTGCTGCACTCGCCAGGACCGAGTTGCTGACTCTTCGCTTTGCGAGCGACCTCCTTGACTGCGAACTGGTGCCCTGAGCTCCTTCTCAGTCCGCAGTCAAAAGAGGCTTCTCGCAGCCTACCGTGGGACATCCGAGTCTCTTAAGCAGGGAGTAACTGTGCAGCTGAACACTTAAAAGCCAAACAGCTTCAATCCTTTCACCGCTCATTGCCCAACGCATGTTATCCAGCATCTAATACCGTTGGATGGGCGTGTTCCCTCCCAACATCTTGGTCATGGGAAAAGATGCTATGTAGGCTTTGGGTTAAAAGTCAGCTAAAGCTGGAAGGCCAGGGGGAATAGGAGAGCTTCAGGGTGGGCCCCTGTGAATGCTTCCACTGGCAGGAGAGTATGCTGTCTATCTTGTGTGCACCACCTTCAATCCAGCTGAGGGTCACCTGAAAGGGAAGGTAGACCCAGCCCAGACCTGGCTGCAGATGTTTGGAACTGGCCTGGATTCTGCTCTGGTGTTTCCTTGGGGTGCAAACCAACAGTTTGGCTCAGTGCCATGACCTTCAGCCTCGAGAGTTTGGGCTCAGACCTGGATCAGCCTTTCCAGCAGTTCAGGACCTCGCAAGCTTTGACGGCCCCTGTCAGACCACCTGCGTTTACCCTGTCTTTGGCCTGAGCTTTCAAAAAGAAAGGTTCAGACAGGGACTGCAGTGTTTGGTCTTGCATTGGGCTGCCAGACGAGAATAACCTGTCATTATACGGAATCACTGGAAACTTAAAATAGCATCCCTAAAACCTTCCTCCCCTCCCAAAGCTTTTTGCTGCTCCTAGCATGTGAATGAGCAGCTACAGCCTCCCGCAGCAGAACTTGCAGGATTGAGTGGTCTTGGCAGAGTAGCTGCAAAGGGCATTGAGTTTAATAAAAGGACTTAATTTTACAGTGGCCTTCCCTATGTCTTGAAGTGAGATTTGGTCTTTGGATGTTAAGCGCTGGGCCGACGAGCACGGAAAACACAAATTGGCTCCCTGTCTCCCTCTGGCAGCGAGCAGGCGGGCACTTTTCTCCTGCCCTGGGACACTCGAGGCAGATTCCCTGCAGATTCCTATTGTCCTGACTAAGGAGGCATGATTTGCAGCGGTGCTGGGTGCCCGCAGGGGCAGTCCTGGTGGCTCAGCACCGCCGAGAATCAGGCCGGGGAGGGGGGGGGGGGGGTCCCGGCGAGGGCAGGGGCAGGGGGAGCGGGGCAGGGGGGAAAAGAGGAGCAGCGGTGCTTGCTGACGCTCAAACACAGGTCTTCTGATAGAGGGACCTGCCGCAGGGGGAGGCCTCTTGGCCCCCACAAGTCAAACTGCGCAGAGTCACAGTTAGTCGTCGTCATCGTCATCGTCGTCATCGTCGTCGTCATCGTCGTCATCGTCGTCGTCATCATCGTCGTCGTCGTCGTCATCGTCTTCGGTGTTTATCTTCCCGGAAAGCACGTCCTCTATCCAGTCCTCCAGCTCCTCGGCTGTGGGCAGGTCGTCGTCGTCTCGGATCTCCATCCAGATGCTGTCAGCCTGCGGGGAGAGGCGATGGGGGATTAGCCACCCTCGGAGGCAGAGGGAAGAGATGGGGTCCACTGCTATTGCGGGGGTACGGGTTGGACCCCAGGTGGGATGCAGGAGGCGGTGGTGGCATTAGGTCCCTCTCTGCCACAGCCTGTGGGCAGGCTCAACCACGGCGTCTCTCTGCCCACGCGTTGGGATTACCGCTTCCCCCCGAAGCGCTGTTGTTCTGACTGGTCGGCGGGTTTACGTGAGCGGGTGGTACTGGTTGCCCTGGGTTAGGTGTGCGCCCACCGCCTGTTCCTCTCCTGCGCTGCCTGTACCCGTGAGCGAGAGCACTGTCCACCTGAGGCATTGTCCTCACCCTGCCTGGTCCGTTCTGTAGACTCCAAGTCTACATAAAGAGAGCACGAAGAGACCTATGCCAGCTCCCCCTGCATCACCTCAGTTCACAGGACATTTCAGCATTTCCCTCCTTCCTTCCAGAGCCCTTCTGGGACCTCTTCCTTTGAGACTTTTTACAGCCAGCTGTCAGCACCCCTTCTTGCCAGCCTCTTTCACCATCACCTTTGCCTTAGGATGCTGCTCTGGACCCTCCACATGTGGTATTGGTTCCTCCTTTCGGAAGAGCCTTTCCTCAGATCATTTCAAGCGTGCTCCAGCTGAAGAATGGTGAAAAACACTGATGCCCTGGACTACAGGTGCTCCCTGTTCTTTCTCTCCAGCTGTCTGCATTAATTCCATAAACTGGAAGGGAGGGGAGATTCAGTAAGAAGATGCTGTCTAAATTGTGGCTGTTACCCAGGGACAGGAGGCATAGCTTAGATGGTCCCCGAGGGCTGGAACTGAAAGGTTTTCTCCCTGCTTTGCCATAGGTTCCTTGGGTAAATGCCTGGGTAAGCCCCTTTCCCTTCACTGTCTCCCCTCCATAAAATAGGATCAGCCTCCTATTTTGCAGAGGTGCCGTGAGGTTATCTCCTTCGGCATTTGATGTGGCAGAAGCAAGTGCTTTTCATATGTCAGAAGATAACTACCGGCTTTTGCAAATGCACCCATCTTCTTTCCCTGTCTGTGGTACCTAATTCTTTTTGTTTTATGGCTTGCTAAAAAGCCAGACCAATTTCTGCTCAAGGAAAGCTGTTTCTCGCTTACAATATTTTCCTTCTAAAACACCAAAATTGTAATAAAATAGAGCCATGGAGAGGCATGCAGCTCTTGCTTCCTGCAAATGATCTTGTCCCCAACTCAGGAGTGTTCGTGCAGCAAAAAGCGACACCTTTAAATAACGGTAACAGGGGTGGGCCCATTGCACCTAGAGAAGATGCTGTGCAAATAAAGCAGCAATATTTTGCATGGCCCTAGTCGTGAGCCACTACGATGTGACGGGCTGGCGGGGGCCGCTGGGAGCTCTGGTGTTTGTATTGGCAGGTTTTTAGAGAAACGATGGGGTCACAGGGGTTATGTCCACCGAAGCCAACAGCAGTGTTTATTTTTACTCTGTTGTGTAAGCCCCACTTTGTACCTGTGTAACTTGGCTGAATGCAGTGATGTAACACTGAAATAACGAAATGAGCTCAGTGTTTGTTTTAGATATCACCCGCCAACCTAGAACTTTCTTAAATCTCTCTCTTGAGGAATAGAAAACAGACTTAAGAGGAATGAAATAAAACCTGCAAATACTATAATCAACAACCTGAAACATTTACTATATCAAAGCTAGATAATGCATGAGTTTTTGCAGGTCTCTGAGTGACTGCTGGATAATAAGGCATATGTTCCTGCTTTCTATAAGATCCTCTTGCCACTGACAGTCCCACTTCCATGAATTTCCATTGATAGCTGTTTAATGTAGCTTTGACATGACTTAAACATGGCCAGCTGTGGTAAATATAATCAAGGGAGATACTGCGGACTAGTAATAAGGGCAAAAGACTGGAAGACTTGGGCTGTATTTCTGGCTTGTCTGTTCGTTTCTCTCATGATCATAGGTGATGGATGCTATCTTGGCCTTCTTCCCTTTTGTTTCTCCCTTAACAATTCTGCTAACAAGCCTTAACCCACTGAGTCCTCACTCTCTAGGTGTCTGTCCCACGGTCTGGCGGATGCTGCTCTGCTACAGGCAAAGCACCGCTCACATCCAGCCAGCACCACATCTACTCCGTGACTCCCAAGCCAGCCTCTCATTCCGCTCAATGGGACGGGCAAGATCCAGGGCCTCTGCTTTCTTCATAACACCGTTACTTTGCCTTCCTTACCATGTCTCCCATCTTGTGGACCTGCAGCATTTGTTATAACAGGAGGCACAGTTATCTGATACACCCTCGCTGTCCCTCTTTTTCTGGGGAGGTACAGGAGAGGGGACGTGGGGGCCGGGAGCAAGGTCGGTGGTGGGGCCAGAAGCAGTGCCCAGCTCCAGATAGCTGTCCCAACTCTAAATCCCTCTCTGCTCTCTTCTAATGAAACATCAGGTTCTCATACAGCTGAAATTTCAAACATGAAGTCAAGCACCGAATTACAAACACTTCTGCAGTGGAGAGCTTTCTGCTTCCAGAGACACTTACATACCCACACAGGGTCATTTTAAAGAGATTAAAACACCCAGCACTTAACCATCAAAAATAAACTAAGGTAATAAGCGAGCCAGGCTGGAGTGTGCCTCATTACGGCTCTCTGCTCGTCTGGAGTGTTATTGGCAGAAAGAGGAAAAACGGTTTCTCTCTGTAGTCGTGACGCACGTTACATTGCACTCAGCAGCTCTCTGGTGGGGGTCAGCTGGGTCCCTCTCCCACCTGCCTTAAAAGCTAACGGCTTGTGGGCAACCTGACATCAGTCCCATGCTTTACTGGCTTGAAGACAACCATGAAGAAAACAGTAGCTGCTAGAAAGCTGGCCCGATAGGCCAGCTGTTGGTCCTGTGGGTACCACCATCCCTGCAGCCGTGCCGAAGCAGCACCCGCCTGCGCAGCTTTCCCTCGGGAGCGCTGCCGGCTGCGGGATGGGGTGGAAACCCTTCACTGCCAATGGGCATGGGGCGGACACGTCTCTTCTTCCCACCCAAATCCCTCCAGCACTACCCACAAGGCAGTGGCTGAGGAGGAGGAGGGCCTGGATGAACCCCACTATACCCTCCTTTCCCCAGCAGGATCCCTCCATTACCAGTTTATCTTGTACTCTTAATAAGGCTGTGTATTTATTTGTTTTTTTCCAAGCTGTGCAGTTTCTCCCTGTCATCTGTCGGGGACCATCTTTTCCTTCCTACACTCAAGCTGTGCTGTTCTGCTTCTGCTGCAAAAACACCCTCCTTTTTCTCCTCCCCTAAGCATGGCTCACTTTCCCCCCTACACACACACACTTTTCCTCCACCAACCCACCCAGGTTCAGTCAGAGCAGGGCATGGACAAAGGCGCACGCTGCCGATGCAGGTGGAAATGTGAGACCTTGAAACCAAAACCAGGCAAAGCCCTGAAGCTCGGACCACAGGGGCTGGTCCTGTCCTCAGCAGATGTGGTTTGTGTGCGACTCGGCAGCAGAAACACGCTCAGACTGAAGCCCGATGTCGGAGGTGCTATGAACCCCGCTGCACGTGGGAATGGTGAGGGCTTTACGCTTTTTCCCTGGGGAAAAGCCAGGTCTACCTGCACTTAGCAGAAATCTCACTGACTCCAGCAGACCTCAGACCCTGTCCTTTCTAGCACCCTAATCTTGGGTTCGCTGGATTTTTCTGGGCACATGCTACTCACGTCTGTGACGTTCACCACCCCAATCTGTGGTCTGAACAGGTCAATCTTGAAGGTCTTCTCCCAGTAAGTGATCAGCTGCAGGAATGAGAAACAAAGCTCAGACAAGGGTGTTTGCCGTACCCCATTGCATTAATTCAGCCGGCTGGGCTGCGATGTGGGGAACGTGCATCGATGAGTGCGTGGGAGAGAAGAAAGGCTGAATGTGAGCTTGGGCCACCACACACGGCAAAGGAAAGTGCTGAATCTCGGGATATTCCCAAGATACCACCTTCATGGGAAGCAGACCCGAACGAGCAGCTCTCAGGGATCACCCGTGGTCCGGTTTCCCGTCCTTCCCTGCCCCAAATTCCCTGGGGCAATTCCTGTGCTTGTGCATACACACACCCCCCAACCCCATCGGTGAATTAAACCAAGAGAGGCAAGGAGCCCCTGCCACTCACCAGAGGAAAGTCGTCAGGGTCAATCCAGACAATGCTCAGGTCGGGATTATCGGTGTTGTCCCTGGCAACCTGCTTCAGGATTTCCAGGAACTCAAAACCATCTGAAATGATACATGAACCGCTGCAGCTCTCTCCAGCAAACATGCAGGCACTTTTCGCTTGTGGGGTTTTCAACTTCCCTTACCCCCCCCCTCCATGCACACAGAAGTTGTTTATAGTTCTCATTAAAATGCTGTCTCCCAGCTCTTTCTTCTGATAATAAGGCTTTTAATTTCCAGCATCCTCCCCGGGTATTGAAATTAGTTACACATGAATTAAGTCTCGTAATCCTTCCATGGAGTGGAACAATGTCACTATTTTCTTGCGGTGAGGCAGGAACTGAGCCCCCGAGAGGCCAAAGCCTTTCGGCACGCTGATGGCACCGAGAAGCACCCGTGCCACGGCTTTTCAGGAGCTGATGCCCATGGGTATCCCGCATGCCCATCACACACCCAGCCCTCGGCACTTCCCTGGAGCCACACAGCAAGATGGACGCAGAGTTAGGGAGCAAATCCTGGTGCTGGGATGGAGGGGATGACTTTTTTTTCCCAGCCAGCCATCTGTTTATATCCAGAATTTGAATCCTGGCTAGCATACCTGCTAGCGTAAACACCCAGAAGCATCCCGTCTCCCCATCCCAGCAGGCTGGGGCTCCCCATCCCAGCTCCCCAGTGCAAACAAAGTATGTGAAACTACACTTTCTTGAGTGATGGAGAGTCATACGAGGAGGAAAATGACCTCCTACCTGGGTCATCTTCTTCGGCAAAGGCCACGATGTGGATTCCCTCCATGTCGTCCTCCTGGAAACAACAAAACTATTACCGATGGGCCAGGGAGGGAGGACAGAGTCTGGGCGGTCGCGGGAGACAAGGAGTGGTGGGATGTCTTCAAACGAACAGGATGATTGCAAAGGGAGGCTTGACAGGAGCCCCACCGAAACACCAGAAATGGGAGCTGACGTGAGGCCAAGCCGTGGAGCTATTAGGCACTGAAGTGGGTAGTTTGGGTAGGGTTGCTGAAACCCTTCAGCTAAAAATGAGGTGGGCACCACGATGGCAAAGGCGAGGGAGCTTCTGATGGTGTGAGGCAAAACCTTGCCTGCAGACAAGGTCAAGGGCTCTCTAGCATGGGAATATAGGCTCACCCTCCATGCCTGAGACCGCCTACCCTCATAAATTTGCAGCCGCTGGGGATGGTTTGCGGGGAAACAAATAGCTGCCACCATGCTCAGCCCCCAAACATGCTCCTTTGGGGCCAGCCAAGGAGGTTTCCCCACAGTATGAGAGGCGAGGTGGCTCACTTGGGCCCCTTTTGGGAGGTGAAGGGTCTCTGCTTTAGGCGAGGGTCTCCGTGAGCAGCGAGGGGAATTGAGTGGGAGGCTCGTTTCAGGGCTCCAATTAGCAGAGGACAGAAATGATGGCCCGGTGGACCGCTTTTCTCCATGAGACACGTGAATAATGGGTAATGATATTGGCAAAGGCCAATGGATCTGCCGGCCGGTTCATCATCCATCTGCTATGAATGTCATCTCTGAATTATACCACGGATCGGCTTCGCCTTCCTCGCCCGCTGCCGGTCCCGGTTTCCATTTCAATTGGTTTTAATGCGAAAAAAAATTCCCATCTAAATGCTAATTTCTTTTCCCTTCTGAGCCCAGAGGTGACAAAGCCACCATCAAAAACCGAAAGGAAAAAAAACCCTGAAAGATTAAGTGGAAAACATTATCTTTAAAAACAATAGCGGTTGTTGGGCCTTTGCTGGCGTCTTCAGGGAATACGTTTTCAGTGGGGCATTCTAGGCAGATTTACTTGGGATTCAGGCCACTCACAGCTGGAAAAATCTACACTGTTCCTTTTTCTCCGTATTTGCCAGCAGCATTGTCAGACAGCAAAATAAAAAAAAAATATATGTTTGCAATATATAATTATATATATAGCTACATAATGTAGCTCTATTCTGACCTCCAAGACAGCAAACAAAACTGGAGTAACTCCAGTGAAGGCATTGAGGATGTTCTGAACTTGCAGCAAGATCAGAATCCAGCCCGTTGTCTCCTGTAGGTACAAGTCCCCTGCTCATAGCGGAGGCAAGCTCTGTATTCCCAGGCTGCTGGTAAAGCAAACATTCCACTGCTGAAAATTCACAATTTTCCTGAGCTTATTTTAGAATATGTTCAGTATGAAAGCAAAACCACGGCATGTGAAATTTGTGTCCCACTGAATCCCCATGGAAAAACTTCGAGGGACTTCAGTGGATCTAGGAAGCTATCTTCTACAGAGAGTCTGTATTTTAAAACAAAATGAAAAGCTATCATACCTAAGTGACTCATAACTCCCAGTTCAGTTTTATTACCTCTCTCCTTGTTGCATTAAAGACTCCCAAGGTTTTTGGTGCTTCGGAGTCCCGCAGCATTTCATGTTACACAGCCAAGCAAGGAGGCAACAGAATGCTGTTATAAATGTGCTGAGCTTTATGGAGAAAAGACTGCATCTTCATTAGTGTCTGTAAAGCACCTGTTCAGCTTTGTTTTTCAGCATTCAGCTGGCACTTGAAGGTCCCTGACTGGCTATTAACATCGTACTCATTCACAGTGAAGGGATAATTTGTTATACAAGATTTTTCTTTCATTTTCACCCTTCCTTTCTTCCCCACCCTTGCGGACCAGGAGAGTCCTCTGCGTGTCTTCGGTGCCAAACCGCTGGTTCGTTCTTCACAATCATTGACTTGCAGCTTGCTCACACCCTGAGAAGCGCAATCGATGCGCGATTTGCTCCGTAATCTATATAATTAACTGAACTGCCTGCCCTTGCTTGCATTTGGAATTGTACAACTGCCCTGGTACAATTTCTATGAATCACCTCTTCGGTACCATCTCCGTAGCTTGCCCAGCGAGCAGACCACTGAAATCACCCCACCACCAGCACCGATGCCCGTTAGATGAGACGGAGCATCCTCGGGAAGGATGCTCTCCGTAGCTGTATCACGGCCGCTACAGAGGCTCAACACCCGCCTGGCACACTTAATTAGCTTTCCCTGTTCTCTCTGTGGAGCAAACGGGACCCAGGTCAGCTGTTGAGCAAAGCATTTGAGCATGTCGTTTGAACTCAGGCACTGGGCATCGCAGCCAAGGCTTTCCCTTCTTCCCAGAGGAGGGAAAGCGGCTTTGCAAGGCAGGAAAGAGAACGTTTCGCCCAGCCAGAGGCTGGAGCTCTTGAGCAGCAGTTTCTTGTTGGAAGCTAGCAGGGGATGCAAGGCTTCCCACCCGCCCGTGCTTACCCACGTCTCAAACATGTCCTCTGGGCGCAGTTTTCGCAAGGTGGCCCTGGAAGGAAGACAGAAACACTCTTTGAGGATGCGACCGTCACCGTCACCCATGATGCTACCAGCGTCACGGAAAAGGTCACCGTGCCACGTTTGGTTGGCGGCTGGAGTCAGCGCTGTCAGCCACCACGTTTTGAATGCAAGCAGGGGGGGACAGTAGGTCAACTTATGCTTTTATTTGTGGTGATAAAACCCTGCCCTTGCCCCCACTGGAGTCATTGCAGCCGCTATTTGTGCTTGGGAGGATGAGACGCCTCTCTGTGCTGGGATGTGCTGGTGAATTAGTCCCACACGTGGCAGATTGTTCTGCCCGTGCTGAGAGCGTGAGGTGACCCATTCACTTCTGTCTTCCAGTCCCTGGGACGTTCCTAATGGGCTTTGTTCCCTTTTTCTCCTGGTTTTACCCCAGCATAATTCCACCACAAAAATCCTTCCAAACTCTGCTGAAGCAATGAAGACAGAATAACCTCTGGGAAGAAAATTTAGATCCTAATAACCACTGGCAAGAAAATGTAAACCATCAGACTGGCCAAAGGAAATTTTTTTGAGAAGTAGTTTATAAAGGACAAAAAAAAGAATAGTAATTATTTTCAGACATGTCCATAGCAGGAAGCGTGTCAGGGAGCCCGGCAAGCTGAAAGGTGATTGGGGTGTTAAAGGGACACCCAAGGAACACAAGGCTATAGCAGAGAAGCACAAGTAATCCTTTGCATCTCTGCTTGCTGTGGCATCAGGTGTTCACAGAGGCTCCTCCAGCAGAGCAGGTCTCCCTGGCTGACCAGCCCCGGGAGCTGTTGCAAGAGAAGTGTTGATCGACGAGGTCCTAGAACAGAATGGTAGAGGGAGTAGCAGCGTGTTGCCAGAACCAGGTGGCATCGATGAGATGTGTAACCTGTCGCTTCAGTTTGCCTCGTTACCACAGCAGTGAAAACAAGGAGCATTTTTTAGGGGTTCCTAAAGGACCTGAGGAGCCACGGATCTGGAAGGGCGACGTCCTTATGGACACGATGCTACCAGCAAAAGTAAAGTTAACAGACACTTGAAGGAATATGACACGATAGCACAAGAGATGCGTGGCCTTTAAGAGGAAAGTCACGGCCATGGATCTGCTGGAGTTCCCAGAGCAAGTCAACGAGTGGGCGAAGGTACGCTGGGCAATGCGGTGAGCTGCCTTCAGAGGACCATTGGACAAGGTCCCTTACTCAAGGCTCTCAGAGGAACCAAGATGCAGATAGATCAGAGGAGGGGTCCTCCTGTGGATTAATGTCATTGGAAGACGAAGGGTGGAGGTGATCGGTCAGTTTTCACGACAGAAGGAATTAACCAATTAAGATTCATAGCCTATGCTTTGGCATGATCATATGCATAACATACTCTCACATAATCTGACAAAGCTGGGAAATAGGAATATGGCAGCGTTTGCTTATCATATCCAATTCTTCGACAACCAACACAGGCCTGACTATGAGGAGATACAGAGGGATCTTGTGAGACTTGAGTGTCTGCATGTTAGATAGGCATATAGGAAGTAACGGACTTGCAGAAAAACAACCCTGATTATACAGGTGCAACAATGGGTTCTAAATTAGTTATAATTAATTATTGCTTCTCAGGGAAGGGGCCCGGGTGTCACAAATTGAGAATGCATCAGCTCCAAAGGCAAAAGGCAAAAAGAAGGTTACAAACAGTTGGAAAATGACTAAGGAGTAGAACACATCATACATATTATGGCAATGGACAGCTACACTGTGCACCTCCACAGTGAATGTATGTGTGGTTCTGGTCATCCCATCACAGAAATTATATCTAATTACTGAAAAAGGGATGTGGAAAAAGGGCAGTGGTGAACGAAGGTATGGAATGACCTCTCTTTGGTGGAGGTTAAATAGATAAAACTCTTTATCTTGTAAAAGAGGTGACTGAAGAGGGGTTTGGCAGGGGGTCTAAAAAATCGGGAATGGTGACCAAAAAAAGTGAAAGAGGGAATGTCTAGTCATTGTTCCTCTTAACACAAGAGCTAGTAGGCACACAGCAGAATTATTAGGTAGCGGGTATAAACTGAACAAATAGGAGTGCTCTTTTGATGCAATGCATAATTCAGCTGCTGAACTCATTACAGTTGGGGACTTTCAGCATCAAAATAGAAATGAGGTAAAAAATGACTGTAGAAATTGAAGAAATAGCCACTAAGCACACAATCAGGGATACAGTTTTTGACCCAGCAAGTCTCCTCATTGCTGATTGTCAAAAAGTGGAGATTATAGCAGTTGAATGCGTATTATGTACTTATGCATACGTGTACCTGGCTTTCAAGACGCTTTCCCTAGCCATTTTCTGGGGGTAGCTCTTGGAGAAAAGAAACTCAGTGGGAAGGATTTGATCACACCCACATGTACTGATTGCTGCAGAGTTACTCAAGATTTACTCTGGTTACTTCCCTATGCTGGAAGGAGCGGGGTAAGTGGGATTTGGGCGAGTAAGAGGGAGAAGAATTCAGCCCCCATGTCACTACACCACAATAACAGAGAACAGCAGCGGGGAGCACATTTTGGAAGGGCTGTTTAAAGCATGCCAAAGAGCCTGGGTACTGCTGAGCACCGTGAGCTTTCCCCAGTGATGTACCGGGGCTCCTTCTGGGGGATGGAGAGGTGGCGGTGGGGATTTGCACCTAAGCCCATGCCTGCCAGCCGGGGTGAAGTGAGAAAGTCTGGTGTGTGAGGAGGAGGAGGCGACTGGTCCTCTACACCTTCCTGCAGAGGAGAAGGTCCTGCCAAGTTGTCTACAGGGAACTAGCACATGGTAGCTGCTGAGGTCGCTTTGTTTTTCTCTACGGACCTGATCGTCTCCATGTCCTGTCTAATTCCACTTCCAGCCTTTGGCTTTAGATCCTTGACTGGTGGCAAGGCAGGAAGAAGTGCTTCTGCTCCGACAGACTCAGCTGGGAACGTATCACTGTCACCCCAGGCTTTTTCCCCTGCCATGGCAGCACCTTGGCAGCTTTGGGATTTCAGGCATCTGATTTCATGAGACTCCTTTTAATTCCTTTCTGAGCCTTGGCACTTGGAAAATACATGGCCCACTCCCTCGCTTCTACCAAGCACCACATAGCATCTTGAAATATGTAAGACTTGGGGGGTTTCCACTGCAATTTGTGCTGGTGGAGAGCTTGCCTTATTAGGCTAGCATTTAGCTGACTGTGTTTAATCAGCCTCTTGATGCTGCTGCTTGACAGAAAGAGCTTGGGGAAAAAAGATGGGAAGGACTGAGGTCAGGAAGTCCAGGAGGTCAGCAAAGTGACCTGCAAGTACATGGGAGACAGAGGACCCCTTCACATTTCAGAAAAAGCAGAGATCTGTTTCAAAGTCTGGTGACTTGTGGATTCCAGAGATGATCCTGTCTCTAAACCCTCTGTGTGTGAACACAAACCTCCAGCTCAGCCCAATTTGGGGTCCTCTAACTGTATTGATGGCCCTGCTTTTCTTGAACTCTTTTCTGGTCCCTTGAACGTCTGCTGGGAAACGCAGTTGCAGGAGCAGCAGATAGCCTGTGCGACTGTACTGAGCTGTATTTTTAAGGGTGTAAAAATACAGCACCTTGTAGGTAGCTGTGGCCTTATATTTAACCCTGGGCTTTTACACAGGATCAGCCTTTCCAGTCACTTCCAGACTGTTGGTAGCTGAGTGCCTAAACAACTGTGCAATAAACCTGATAGCAAAAAGCATGGAGCATCCACAGCTCCTGCTGAGTCGATCAAACACTGTAGGTGCTCAGCACCATCGCCACATGAGGCCCAACACAGCCATAACAGCAGTGGCTTTCTCTCTGAGCCTGCGGTCAGCAGGAGCCTTTTGGTCCATTACGGTTCCTTCGAGCTTGGTCTGAGCTCAGAGCCTGCCTACAGACATATCTGACATCAGGAGAGGGATATATCCATTAGTGAAGCTGTTTCGGGGAAGGAGGGGACCGGACAGAATTTGAGTTTGGCTTGAAAGGCCTTGGAGAAGATCATCTTCTGTACAGAACTAAATTAAAAGCATGGGCAAGTAGGGCAAGGTTTCTGCTCTCCACTGGCTACAAGCCTCCCTGCTCTTTGAGGGTGGCCTGACGAGGGAGGAAGAGGAGGGAAGCTGTGTCGTCACAGCCCCATGGTGGTGGGCTCTGATTGCAGCATGGATACTTGCACCTCTAGGAGTAGGAAAAGACCAGCCAAAAATCTCAAACCTGAGTCAGCAAATCACCAAAAGGCGGTCATCATCCTAATTTTTTTCTGAGAGGGATGCCCTAGAGGGGCAAGCCCGCGATGACAGACACTTTTACCTGCTTCCCACGGCCAGGCTTGTCCTGTACACTACGTACCTTTTGTGCTCCTTCACAAATTCAACCAGCTCCTCTTCTGTGTAAGGCTTGTCGGGGATGTGAACAGGCTCATCCATAAACGGTTCATAGAAGTCCACCTCGTTCATCTTCAGCCCCAGCTTCTTGGCAACCTGTTGCAGTGCAGAAGGTCGGAGGTGAGTGAGTCTGACGTGCCTCTCTGCCTGCCCAGTCTCTCCCAGTAGCAGCGCTGAGGTCAAGGTGCTTGCTCTCTCTCAGAGCATGCACTCTTAGGGGTGGCCAACTAAATATGAATGGATCTTTCCTTGGTTAAAAAAACCACCGATGCTCTCTGCACTACTGGTCTCAAGCACTGGGGCAGAACAAAGCCAGAGTCAAGGTCCCGCAAACCTAATGGGGCTGGTTTCCAAACCCAGATCAGGACCTGCCTCCACACTGCAGAAATGGCCTTTTATATTGCACCAGGGCCAAATCCAAACGCGGACACCAATACCGCAAATTACAGGGACACTGAAAATGAGAAGCTGGAGCCAGATATTAAATCTGGGAACATGCTGAGCTTCTGGAAAACAGTTGGTGGAGTCTGTGAGCTCTCACAGAGGTCCATGGATGCTCACCCCTTTGTCGAAGGTGGCAAAGAACTTGATGTACGGCTGGAAGTGTTCGGCGGCTTCTTCAAACGCCTTGTAATCTGGAAGGAGAAAAGGGGAATGAAGAAAAGATTTCACAGGCAGTTGGCCATGCTCTGATCAGCACAGAAGGCACCAGGGAAGAACAAACACAAATCATTGCAAAATACATCAGATGACGGCACTATGTTTCTTCCACCCTTCCAGGGTTTACAAACAAGGACCACTTCATGTGGAGCGAACAGGACACATGTTGTGCAGCCCCACAGTGCTCAGGAAAAACTACAGATCCCGGCATGCCATGCTTAACTGGGGCTGAAATCAGCAGCCCTGTGAAGCAGGTTCAAGGGTTAAAACTCCAGCCTGTTGATAAGGCTGTTTACAGCTGCCTGCTTGCACAAGCAGTAGTTCAGCCTGGGAAATACATGGAGTTGTTCCAGCACTAATGATTGCTGCCATTGCCTAAACAGTCACCAAGCGTGATTAGGCATGCTCCTCCTGCTGCGGGAGGACGGGGCAGGAACGAGGTACATTTTTACTGTTACTGGTATCAGGTCCTCAGCTGGGGTCAGGAAGGATGCTCTCAGCCTGGTGGGAGCTCTTTGCAACAGGTATTTCCCACTTTTCTTCAAAATACTTATTACTGAACAGCGTCAGGGGCACAGCCCTGCCCGAGCTGCCCTGCAGCCCATTTTGAGCGGGTGAGAAAGCTGAAGGGAGAGGTGGGAGGGCTGTTGTGATGCATCAGACCTGGTGACACGTGTCTTGTTCAGGTAAGAACACCTGTCTTTTTGCTAAAGGTAAGCCTTGCAAGCGTGGGGTGCACACTGTCAGCATTGCCTGGAGAGCAGGGCTGGCAGAGGAGACTGCTGGGGCTTGCCGGAGAGAGTCCGGCGAGGGTTTCTCCAGATTTGTGAAAGCTGATGGTTTTGCCTGGAATGGTCCTTGAGTTGCACATCCCTCAGGGCATGGGACCTGCCTCTTCTCACTCTTGGGGTAGAGCGAGGAGAAACAGGTCAGTGCCTCTGCTGGGCTGCCCTAAGGTGTCCTGCTTACTGCTGCTGTACGTTTGCCAAGTTAGTATTTAATGTGTGTCCCCCTCTTTCCCTTTTCCTCCCTCCCTCTTTCTTTGACCTTTCGGGCACACTGCTCATAAGAGGGGGAGCTTAGACTTACCTTACTTCAGCTGCCCTGGGATTATCGTCCCCTTCTTTTGCCAGCAGACACCTTGCAGAAGGGTCACCGCTGTTGGTGTAGCAATGGGCTCATGCATAGAACTTGCCTGCGACCCCACCTCATCCTCCAGCAACTTTGGCACTGTCACAGCCTGCCATATACCCCTAACACCCTTAACATTCATGCAGAAGGACAAATGCCCGTCCCCCAGAGCCCCCAGCCAGGCTCCAAGCCCCGCGAGGATCATATTCATCTTACGTTCAGAGTCTTCTCCTTTGAAGTAGCCGATGAGTTTGATTTCCTCGTCAATTTGGTCAAAGGCCTGAAGCTCCAGCTTGTTGTTTATGATCTCCACAGGGTCTTCTAGCAACTGCCATGACAAATGCATTTGATAACGCAAAAATTTGCAGCACCCACCTATGCCTGGCAGGGTATGTCACTAGCAGCCTAAGTGGGGAGAAAGAGGTCACCCAATTTCTCTGCTGCTGGAAACCCTACTTAGTGCTCTCTGCCTTAATGTGAGGAACCGAGAGATGTAGGTCACCTCCAGAAGGAGCCATTAGTAGGTTCACTGCATAGGTTGAAGCTGCGAGGGGTCTGGGTAACCCAAATGGATGCTGAGGGACCTGCTGTGATGAGAGATAAGGGGTAGCCGTTGCAGCTGGCTTTAGAGAGCCTGAGAAGAAGGGACAGCAGTTGAAAGGGGCTGGTACGGGGAATGTGAGCTTCTGTGAATGATGGATATATTTGCTTTCAAGTGTCGTTTGCTGGAAGAGGTCACTGCAAAGAACTTGCTTTTGGAAAACATTAAAACCAGCATGCTAGAGGGTGGCCAAACAGTGTTTTGGAGCAGTGGAAAGTCTGGATGTGAATTTTCCTGGCTGATCCTCCTGTGCAGAATGGGTTGAACCCATGCTTTGGCCCCAGACATGTCACAGTGTTGATGAGGAAGTTGGAAGACCTATCTGCTGCTTCAGGCTGTTGTTGATGCAAAGTTTGTTTCTGTTTTCTTAACTAGCTATGGCTGGTGAAAAGATTTTGTCTGATTATTTTCCCCAGCAATACTGGTGTAAATCAGGTGTGGTTTCACTAGGAAAAAAAAAAAATGCAGGCAGGCCACTGTACAGCCTACAGAGGAGTAGAAAACCTCTGGGTTTGTTTTCCTTTGAGATCAGGCTGCTGAGGCACCAGGGATGTGTTTGTTTTTACTTCCCTGCTTTGCTGGGTATTTTGCCTCTTGAGGGGAAAACACACAAACAGAAATCCTTGCTCTCTTCCTTTGTTCGCAGAAGACGATTTTTCAGCGGCACACCACAAAGCACAGCAAGCAAAAACTCACAGAGCGCCTTACGCCGCATCCCCTGTGAGTGATGCTCCGGCATCTCCCTGCTGCCGTAGTGTCCTGAGCCATGGGAACCAGGGGTCCCACCGCTGCCAGGGTCACAGCAAAGTCCTGCTCCATCCATCTGCAGCCCTCCCAGGTGGGGCAGATGCCCATTTCTGTCCCTGAAGCCACTTGCATGTGTTTTGGCCACAATACCTGATGCACGCAGCCACAGGCGTTGCCGTAGGAGAGCTAAGGTCCTAAGGAGCTGTTTCTCTTCCCTGGCCATGCCTCGTCCCACTGGCTCTCCTGCACCGCAGGTGACCATTTAGGCAACCTGCCACCCTGGGAAACAAACCCTGCCAGCTCCGCTGCTCGCCTTGCCTCCCTTATCTGTATTATTGCACGGCTGCTCCTCAAGGGAGCCTCATTTCCAAGGAAAGCCAAGCCGCTGCAAAATGTTTTCACTACAAAGCAAAGACCAGGTTTTGGGGCTGTCGCCTCTCCTAGGAATAAAATGTAGAGAAAGAGAAGTGCAACACGTTGATGAGGGAGTCAGCCTCTCTTTTGCATTTAGGCACAAAGGTGAGTACGCGGTTGTGCCTGTGCACAAAATGACCTGAGAGCACTAAGTCCTGGGGCCTTGATCTTCTCTAACTCGTGGCAGTGCAATCTGGTAAGTTCACTGAAGAGGCAGCAGTTGTGTCTAGAAAAGGGCAAATAGTTTGCAGCACATACCTTTTTCAATGAATTGAGCTCTTTTTAGTTGCTCTATGAGAATGCTACTTCTTGGATTTTTTTTTTTTTTTAAATAACTCTTCTTTTTTGGAAAAAAAAAAGAGTGAAGGATTTTGCAAATGGCAAAATGTTTGCACACTAGCTTGCTAACTGAGGTAGGTGACTAGCACTTAGTTATGTGGGATTTTTGCTTGCTTCCAATCAAATACTCCATAAACAGGAAAGAGAGCAGAACATCTTTAAGATATAAGTGGTTGGTGGCATATACAGGTACCAGCTTTCCTGGGAACTCATGGTCAGACAAGTATTTGGGAAGCTGGCAAATGTCATCTCTACTAGTGTGTAGCAAACAGGGATGGAATTTCAAATAAAGATAAACCCATGTTTTTTAGCAAAGTGAGTATTTGCAAGGTCTTCTCTGAGAGGCTTTATCTAGCTCTGAGCTTATCTGTACTTACGTCCAAGAGGAATTCCACCAAGACATCCGTGGCCAGTTCCCCATCAAATTCAATCAACCGCTCCTCTTTAAAGACATAGAGGCTTCCCTCTTCAATCAAGCCTGAAAGAAGGAGACAAGAAACATAACGTGGTCAACACGTCACTAAAAGTGTTTTTACTACAGAGTATCTTGCTTGTTTGTTCTAGCAACACCTCCTGGGAAAACGCAATTGCCAATTTGCTGTGTTGGCCCAGCTAGAAACAACCCGAGAGTTCTCCTGACTGATGTTTCACAGCATGAGGGATAGACCTCAGCCAGAACTTGTGCTAGCTTCTTCCCAAATGTTGAACTTTTCGTTCAGGTCACAGTTTGGCCTCAGCTGGAAAAATTCTGTATCAGGAACTTGTTTCACCTTGGCTATCTCTCTTGCAGTAAATAATACTGGGCTCTACCCAACATCCCAAATTTTAACAACCTGTCACTAGATGGAAAATGGATTTTGATGCAGGTTGTGTTCTCTGCCCAGAGAGGGCTGAACTATGTGAACATAAACAGTGACCTGAAAGTCAAACTGAGCTTCAAACTCTCTGAGGCTTAGCTAGCCTTGACAAAACGGTTAGAAACCTATGGTAGAGATGCTGCAGATGGCAGGCTGGCAGATTTGAATGGTAGATCACTGGACTGAGGACTGGGTGCCACAGCATCTCACTGGAGGCTCCAAAATCAGCAGCGCTGAGCTCCCACAGTGGATGATGGTGGGGTACCACCAGGCCAAGGTGGTTGGTAGTTTGTTCCTTTTAGCAGAGGCAGACGCTCTCAGCTTTAGTTTAGCTTCCACCAGCACACACATTTAGGAAAGAAAATTACAATCTGGTATACAGTCTGGTATGCTTAAACAGTCTCTGACCTTAAGCCTAGTGGTATATTTGTGCGCTGTTGTATTTATATGTCGTAGTATTTCCATATTGCTTTGTGGGCTAAAATATGAAGGGATTGCCAGCCCCTGGAAGGCAGCTGTTTCCAGGGGTGGGCAACGCAGCAGCCTTTCAGCTTTACAGCAGGTTTCCTCTTCTGCTCTGGGGAGCAAGTCAGAAGGGTTGGCACCATTGCAAAACCATTGCAAGGCTGTGGCTCCCCCAATAGTGGCCACGGGTCACCCTGCCATGGGGCTGGTGACATTTGGGGGCCTATGTGATTTCCCGGTAGGTTTTGGTTCTGCGCTGCTGTGTCAGAACTGTCTCTGTGTAGGAAAGCGTGGAGTTACTCCATGGCACCTATTTGCAGTTTCTGCTCAGCAAGTTGGGAGCTTCCACCCTATCATCGCTATGAATTGGCTTTCTTTTTCGTTTGGTTTTGTTTTGGCACTCTCAGCCAAGAAGATTTTGCTGGAAGGGTCTTGGCTCATCCCTCCCATCCTTGCCCCCTGCCTTGATCCTGCCCATGTTGGTGTGGGCAGGTGGTCAGTGTGCAATTGCCACCATCACCCCCCCATCCTGGTGACAAGGATTTGGCTGTCGTCTATGGGGCTGGCTGCTGGGCATCACTCCCGCACTCTCTCAAGCTATTCCAGAGATATCAGATATGGCACTCACCTAACTTTTTGGCAAGTTTGGCATCCTTCTTGGAGTCCACCATCCCGAAGCCAATGCTCCTGGGCTCCAGGACCTGAGCTGCCAGCTGTGGGAGGAACCAGAGAGCCCAACGTTACCAGCATTAACACCACAGGGTGGCTAAAGGGCATCGTGCCCTGCTAGCATGGCACAACAGGCACAAGTGACCCATATTCCGCTTTCGGACAACACCGATGGGTGGGATGCATCACATGCTGCCTCCTCACTGAGATAAAGCTGCCCAGAGGTCACAAGGGTTGGGTTTCTTCCCACTGTGTCACAGCACCGAGTTTGCTGGCGATACCGTGTGCTGTTAAATGCTGTTTGACACCCTGGCATCGGGAGAGGGCTCCTGACCGAATCGGGGACACCAAAGCAGTGGCCACGGCTGGGAGAAAGACCTGTGCTACCGACACGAAGCAAAAGCTGCCTCCTCTTTTGTGCCTCCGTGGCCTCCTGCGGGGGGGCGTGACATGTGGGCACCGTGGACATTTTAACTCTGGAAGTGCTTGGTGCCAGGCAGCAGCGGCTGCAGACTGGAGGGGATGCAGGGCACTGCAGCATCACGTTTCCTTCATACATGTGTTGCGGTGGCCAAGGCAGACTCCCAGCAAAATAAAGCAGAGGGACTCCTGGCTCTGCAAAAGTGGTCCCTTCTCCTATGAAATGCTTTAAGTCATGTCTCCTGTGCATGCTTCGGTCACCCCCCAGTTCCTGGTCCCCTCTTTTCCCTAAATAAATGAGTCTAATCATAGCCACGCTCGCGTTTGGCTCCTCACAGTTTTGCAAAACCATTGCCCCCGTTTCCACCATTTTTGACGAAGGGGCCTCTCGAAGATATCGAGTTCCTGCCTGTTTTGTGAAAATAGATATGTGAGGAAAGGAGAGACGCTCTGCAAGTGCCCTGTGGTGGGAGCGGCCCCGGGTGAGACCCTGTAAATTCCAGCTGGGCTCCATAGAGATGCAGTGACCCTGGGAAATGAGCCTACTTACTCACCAGATGACTGACTTAGCCCCACCACAAGCACACCAGAGACCCTACAAGGCGGTAACGATGCTCTGAGACCACCAAGCGGCTGTAAGAGCCCCGTCCTCCTCCCTTTCCCTCCCTTCTCCACAAATGCCTCTGATGATGATGGTCTTCTTGCTGTCCCCCCCTCTCAACCCTGCTGGATGTTGGGGGATGATGGGGATGAGGGGTCGAGGGTCTCCGGGATGGGAATGTCCCTATTAGGGGACAGCTGCCTGCACTCGGTGGCAGGAGGCTGCAGGAGGGCAGAAGAAAAGCCATGGCCAGAGAGATGGCAGGCTGATTTATGAGGACCACCCTCTCCCCGGACCCATTTTGGCACCCTCCCCCCAGCTTCAAAGCCGGTTTGAATGTCACCCAGCGGTGCCCGGCCCCTTGGCTCTCCCGCTATAAATAACCTCCGCCTGCGCCCGGCTGCCGCGAGAGCGAGCGGCGATTAAAGGCGTCGGGGGGCAAAAGCTGTGGGGCAGCCCCCTTGCCTGCACATCATCATGGGGCTGGCCAGCTCCCCATGCTGGCAGCGCCCAACCCTTCCCCGAAATCCTGGGGGGGATGACGGTGGGCACCCCGGCGATCAGGACTCAGGGACCTTGCTTGGGCGAAGGGGAGCGACAGAGAACGTGGTTGTATTCCCCTTTCCACCAAACAGGTGTCCCCAGGCCTGTCCCGAAGCTCTCCAGAAGGACATATTCTCCACCAACCACCAGAGCATCACTGCAACCTTGATTATCCTACGGCTACCTGGCCTGTTGTCTTTGGGGGAAAATGTCACCATGTGAGGCAAAAGACGTGCTCACGTTATGCAGGGAACAGGTGATCTCACTGCTCTTTCCTTGCTCTCTGGCAGTGCTTTGAAATAAAGGTGAAGCTGCACGTTCAGGGCTTGAGCTTACAATGGATACCGCCTGAATGGGGGCAGAGCACTGGTCCGTGTTTGCACATCCATTGATAAGGCATCTGAGCACTGGTCTGACCGGTCTGGCATCCCACCTCCTGGCACAGGCCACGGCCATCCATCCACATTAGAGCACCTGAGAGCAACTGGTACCCAATAATGCAGGGAGAGATGGACACCTCTTGTGAGCTCCCTTGACATCTGCAAGCGGGCAGCAGTGAGAAAAGCTGTTTTCTGTTCCCCATTACAGGGATCTGCTTTTACTGGACAAAGAGATGGAGCCTGTAGGATCATCAGCTTTCAGGGACATTGTCAGTATGTCCCCGCTTGCTGGCAGTTGTGTAGACCAGCAAGAAGTTCCTCGGAGTCGATGCTTGAGGCTCTGGCTGCGCTTTGATAAGAGGTAAAACACAGAAAGCCCAAGGGAAGAAGACTTTAGTGATGTCCAGTCCGGTCCATACTTCATCTAGCTACTTACTTACAGCTACGTTAGCCATGTGCCAAAGTCAAAGCAGTTTAAGCCCAACCGTTCTCAACTCCTGCATGCAGGAGATGGTTACGGTTTCTTGGGGGTGTTTGAAGAAGCTCAGAAATGTGCAGAAAAAGCTGCAACACCCGCTACAGGCAAGCGGTTGGGCGTTTGCAAGAGAGGAAGCATTGATTGGGAGTAACGTATGTCAGCATGCAGCGCGCACAGGGTAGTTCTTCGGAGGGGTGTGGGTGCAGCTGTGGGCATGGGAGCTTGATGGGAAAGACTGAACGTGCAAAGAAAACGTGGGTGATGGGATGAAAGCCTCTTTGTGTGAGACTGGGAGTGCGCACTTTGTTAGGGCTTGGGAGGCAAAAAAGGTCACGGTAATGCTGGAGGTGTGCCTGTTGGTGTGGGAGGGCTGGTGTCACTGTGTCTAGCGAGACTGTCTCCAGGAGGTGTACGTACTGGGGGTACGAGTGTTTGGAGGTGTTCCTCTGAAGAGGCTCATCCTGGTAGAGAAGGTGTGCGGCAGCGTGCGTGTGTACGGCGTGAGCCTGCTTCTTCGGGGACGGAGCCGAGAGCTAAGTGGGCAGCCGGCCTCCTTCACTGGGACTTTCATGCTGGTGAGATAACGAGGTGAGCGGTACAGCCTGTGCCCATCCGCAGAGTCTCGCACCGGGGAAATCTTCGTGCAACGTGAGACTCTCTGGAGCTCTCTGTGGCAGCGCCTGGAGGCAGGAGACCTTTGCAGGGTGTCAGGACCTATGGTGGCTTTTTCAAGGGCAAGTTCTGCAGGGGCTGGACGTTGCTCCTACCCTTGCTTTCCCTGCTTTCCACTGCAGCAGGTGAGTCTGACCAGTGCTTAGGTGAGGACGTATTCCCACACCTATCTTTGAACCCCATAAGGCAGCAAAATATAGAGTATGCCAGAAGCACAGCAGCTTGGCTAGTTGCCCCCTGCTCATTACAGTATCAAGCATTTATATATCCCCTTACAGTATTTTCTGATTCCATAATACTAGTGGGATTTGAATGCAGATAATGTTTCTAATCTTGACAATCCTCTTGGCTCAGGACCTTGGGACAGAGGTGGCTGTAATATAAGAACACAGCCCCTCCTCCTCCTCCTCCTCCTCCTCCTCCTCCCTTTAAGTTCATATCACTTGAAATCTTGGCCAGCCAGAGCCCTTGTCTTTGTGTCAGCCTCTATAGCAAGTAATTTAGCTTCAACAGCTGCATGGGGATATGGAGGAGAGAAACTGCCCTGGAAGAATTGGACCTAACTGGTCATGCAGTCCTTGAGGTACAGCAGGAGCTTTGGGCAGGCAGAGCTGGCTGAGAGCGTGAGCAAAGATCCCAGTAGCTTGTAAGCTCATGTCCCATGCACATTTTGCAGCCTTCCTCTTACGTGCATGAAGCCTTTGCAATGCACACTTTCTAGCCACAGGATCACAAGCTGTGTCCTGTGCAGCCTTGGGAAAAGGAAGTGTGAGTTTGGGAGCACCCCTCCTTTCTCCCACTTCCCTCAGGTAATAGCCATATTTGAATTTGGGTAAGCGTGAGCGAGGGCATGGCACTCTGAGATGTTTAATAGGTGCCAGCCCAAAGTCAAGCTTAAGGACCACCTCGTCTTGGATGGTGTCAAGAGTTACAGGCAACCTGAATAATGGGGATGGAAAGAAACAGCTCCCTGCGGGAACATCTCAGCTTCACACCTATTATACCTATCTGAACCTAGGTGTGATGCTGGGAAGCTTTTGGGAGATTTAAGAAAGTCCCACAGGGTCATTCTGAAATCCTAGGTTATAGAGCAGCAGAAGCGTCACCGGCTGCCTGACCACACTCCTCTTCTAGCTGCAGACACTGCTTGTGCCAAACCTTGCATTTGGTGTCAGTTTTGCTGTTAAATGGCAGGCAAAATCCAGCAGAGAGGGTTACAAATGGCGTTGGGAGGGGTGGGTGTCTCAGCATGGTCAGTTTTCATAGTGGCGTGACATTACGGCTTGCTGGCCTGGATTTTCTTCCCACTTCTCTAGCACCTGCCTGAAGCTCCTACAGACAGTAAGGCTCATCTTCCCCAGCTGCTCAGGCTGGCAAGCAGGGCGCTGGGGACATTTGGGTGTTATGAGAACCATCATGAGTAAACTTCTCTTAAGCATGGGGAGCTTTCTGTTTCCCTAGCTAGCAGCAGGGGAAGTACAAAACTCAAGCAATGCAAGGAGGAGAGCAACTGGAGAGGATGAGGGAACGTCCCTCAAGCAATCTACACTTCTCCGCTGTTTCTATCCTACTCTCTTTAAAGCTGCAGTTCACGTTGATGGTCAGAACCTGGTTGATGTAACGATGATGATTTTACATCCCAAAATGTTAGGTTTTTATTTTTGCAGCCAGCAGGAGGAGATGGCAAAAGTCTAGGGTATTTCTCCAATAGCTTTGAAACCTTATGCAGGACTCATGCCTTCACGCTACGGTTGACTTCTCTGTTGTTCGAGCTGGTGGGCAGTTTGTTGGAGAGCAGAGGGGGTTATCTCTCCTTCCTATTGCCATGCTGTCTCCTCTAGCATCCCCTTGCATATCCCACTAACAACATTTTGGGTTCTTGCATAATTCAGGCTGGTGAATTAGGGGTCCTGAAGCATCATGGTGAACAAAGAGAAGGGGCAGAAACCT